AAAAAAAAAAGAGGCCCACTGGGCAGCTTCCTGGAAGCCCATCTATAAGGTCCTGCCTAGCTCTGAAATCACATTATTTTCAGTTTAATTCATGTTTCTCATATGGTTACACACATAACGGGTAAATTGAGCCAACTCCCAGTGGAGCAGAAAGTACCATCAAAGGCATATTTTAAAAACTCTTCTTATTTTCACTAATAAAATATTAAACCCATATTTAAATAGTACTGTTTTAAAGAAATACCAAATTATTGGTCTGCCTGGACACCCACATGTGTTGTCCAGCTCTGCCTCCTGCCAGCTGTCTTCAAGTCCATGGAGTGGTGAAGCTAAAAAACCTTAAGCCTGAAAAATCCTTTCCCCATTAGGGAAGCAGATCTCCGTCACAGCAGTCAACTCTTGCTCTGTGAGACAAATAGCGAAACTGAGACATATAAAGTACCCATTAACAGTTGTCACAAATCAGTTCAGGAATCAGAATTACCATCCAGGGATGGGAAAGAAAGCTGTGATCAATGGTACTTATAGTGAAAGGGACTCAGACAAGAGAGAGAGCTCAAGGCTGTGAAGTTGACCATTTTGTCATTATTTCCACCCATTTCTCCTGCTACTGACCCTTGTACTGCTCTTTCCACTCATACAATGATATTATCCAGAGACCCCATGTCATTACTGAGCCCATCTGGAGTCCCAGCTATCAGGTATTTTTAAATATAGAGTCTTCACTGCCCCAAATGAAACTTATTTGGCCTATGTCTGATTTCTCCAGGGCTGGGACCCTTGTAATTATTGGAAATTTCAAACATACATGAAGTACACTGAAGTCAAAAAAACAGTATAATAAACACTGATACACACATCACCCAGCTTCGACAATTACCAAAACTCTGCCATTTTTGCTTCATCTATTATGCCATTGACCACCCAACCACCACTTTTGACAGTTTTTTTTTTTAGTTTATTTATCTTTTGAGAGAGAGAAAGAGAGAGTGAACAGAGGAGGGGGAAAGAGAGAGTGAGGGATAGAGAGAATCCCAAGCAGGCTTTGCACTCTCACTGCAGAGCCTGATGTGGGGCTCAAATTCACAAACTGTGAGACCAAGACCTGAGCCGTAATCAAGGGTTCAACACTTAACTGACTGAGCACCCCACCCCCGTGTGCCCCTACAGTTCTTTAAAGGTAAGATTTACAGACATTAAAATGCATACATTTTATGCATACAGTTTGTATGTAATCCACATGCCAAAAATTAAGATACACGACATTTCAAGACACCCAGAAAGTGCCCTCGTGTCCATTCTCAGTCAACCACCAAGCCCATGCCCACCCCAACTCCAGGTAACCAGTTTTTCCTCCCTTTTTACTTAGTTTCACCTGTTCTAGAACTTCATATAAATTGAAACATTGAGTATATATAAATCATTCTCCTGTTTCTAGATACCTGAGCTGTTTCTTATTTTTTTGCTATTGTGAATAAAAGTACTATGAACATTAATATACAGGTCTTTTTATGTAAATATGTTGTCATTTCCTGTGGACAAATACTTAGGAGTGAAAATTACTTTGTCAAAGGTAGATATATGTTTAACTTTATAAGAAGCTGCTAAGATTATTCTGTTTTATATTTCCACTGTGATGTATGAGATATTCATTACACTACATCCTCACCAACATTTGGTGCTATAAGTCTTTTTTTTTTACATTTTATTTATTTTTTGAGACAGAGAGAGACAGAGCACGAGCGGGGAAGGGGCAGAGAGGGAGGGAGACATAGAATCCTTAGCAGGCTCCAGGCTCTGAGCTGTCAGCACAGAGCCTGATGTGGGGCTCGAACCCACAAACCGTGAGATCATGACCTGAACCAAAGTCGAATGCTTAACTGATGGAGCCACCCAGGCGTCCCCCAAGTCTTTTTAATATTAGTCAGTTTAATGGTTATATATAGTATCTCATTGTGTTTTTAATTTGCATCTCCCTGATGACTAATGATATTGAGCATATTTTTATCTGGCCATTCATGTAATTTCCTTTGTGAAATATTTGTTCCAATTTTTCCCATTTTTCTGTGTTGTCTTTTTATTATTGAGTTGTAGGCAATCCTTATACGCTCTAGATAAAAGTACTATGTATATGTTTTATAAATACTTTCTCCAGGTCTGTACTATGTCTATTATTAATTGTCTTGTCAATTTCTTTTGATAAAGTCTTCTTATTCAAAATTTTCTTTTATGGTTAGTGCTTTCTGCATTCTGTCTGAGAAATCTTTGCCTGCCACCAAATCATGAAGATACAATCCTGTTTTCTTTTATAAGCTTTATAGTTTTAACTTTTCCTTTTAGGGTCTGTAATCCATCTTGAATTAATTTTTGTGTATGGTGTGAGGTAGGGGTTAAAATGTACTTTTTTTTCTCATAAAGATCTATGGTTATTCAGCATTGGTTTTTGACTCTCATTTTCCAATTGAATTGTTTTGCTGCCTTTGTCAAAATCAACTGGCGGTATAAGTTTAGATTTATTTCTGGACTCTCACTTTCTGATTTATTGATCTTTGTCTACACTCTGCTAGTACCACACTGTCTGCATTACTGTAGCTTTAGAGGAGATTTTGAAGTCAAATAGCATAAGCCTTTTACCATCTCCTTCCAAGATTGCTGTGTTATTCTAGGTCCTGCATTTCCATATACATTTTTTGAATTTTTTTTTTTTTTAACGTTTATTTATTTTTTTGGGACAGAGAGAGACAGAGCATGAACGGGGGAGGGGCAGAGAGAGAGGGAGACACAGAATCAGAAACAGGCTCCAGGCTCTGAGCCATCAGCCCAGAGCCCGACGCGGGGCTCGAACTCACGGACGGCGAGATCGTGACCTGGCTGAAGTCGGACGCTTAACCGACTGCGCCACCCAGGCGCCCCGCATATACATTTTTTGAATTAGCTTGTCACTTTTCTATTTAAAATGCCTATTGACTCATGATTGAGACTTTGCTAAATCTATAGCTTAGTTGGGGGAGAATTGACGACATCTTAACAACATTGAATCTTCCAGTCTGCAAACATGGTATATCTCTCCACTTAATTTTATTTTTCTTTAATTTTTCTCAGCAATGTTTTGTACTTTCAGTGTCTAGTTTTGCAGGTCTTTTGTTAAATTTATTCCTAAATAGTTTACGTATGTTGATGCTTCTGAAAATTAAAAACATTTAAAATTAATTTTCTATTTTGGGGTTCACTCCCTTGGGTGGCTCCCTCTTCCCCAGGATTTTTCTTAATCTTCTGGCTGCTCAAGTCAGCCCTAAATTCTATCCTCTGATGCCTCAAACCAGTAAGGCTGCAGCTTTCTGCCCCTTCCAGCCCTCCCAGATTGGAAAGTGCCCTCAGGCAAAAACACCAGAAATTTGCAAATCTCATTCCTTACAGTTCAACTCTCAAGAGCAGGTTTCCCTCTAGTTTCTGCTGGTTATGGTCACTCTCCAGGGCTTTCAAGACCATTTCCTTTTTATCTTGTCCAGATTTGCCATTGTTATCAGCAGGAAGATCAGTCTAGGCCAGGGATTCCACCATTTTTGAAACCTCTGTACTATTTTAATGAATAAATCTGTACTTTCTGCAAATGGAAGAAGGTTGGGAGTCAGAGAGCTCCCTTTAGAGCTCCATCAGAG